AGAGCACCATGACACAATTCACTCCAACAGAAATTTGGAAATGGTATACTGTACTGTTTGGCCTTCACACTGGAAGCTCCAATACAATCATTTCAGAGTATTTGGATGTCAATCTGAGGAAGGTGCGGAAGATTCAGAAAGAGCTGGATGAGTCTAATAGTGATTATGAAGGTGTTTGAAGTGATCACTAGTGATGGCGACGTTATGCTTCCATTCATCTTCCCCCAGGGTCTCAGACTCAATATGGAGGCCTACATCAAGTGTCTTGAAGTGGTAGTGCTACCCTGGGTCAAGAAGGTGGATGCTGGCAATAGAACTCTGCATCATGCCACACAAGCATGAGAACCCAGTCATGGCTGTCAGAAAATTTCTGTGACCATATCATCCCTTATATCTGGCCACGTAACTCCCCAGACTACAACCCTGCTTGATTATGGGTGGGGTGCAGTTGGATGAGAGATCAACAAAACTCCTTGTAACATTAAAAATGAACTGAAGGGAAGGATCATAACAGCATTCATCAACTTAAACAAGGAAACTGTCCAGAAGAGTTGCAGGAGATTCAGAAGTCATCTAGAAGTCATGGTTGAAGCCAATGGCAATTTTATTGAATAAATTTACTCTTTACTATTTCAAGATATTTTTGTATAATTTTGGTAAATGTATCTGTTAATATGAGATTCCAATGTCATTTTCATTTATGCATAATTTAGACGACAATTTATCCATCGCAACCTTCAGTCTTGATCCGTTCGATAAGGTCAAACTGACGGCTGATGTCAAAAACAGCTTACAATCTATTTGTTAACTGGGGCAAAGGATGGCTTGTTAATTTTAACGCCTCAAAACTAAATTGCTTTCTATTAATCGTCTGAGAGACTTTTTCTGCTTTCCGTCAGCATAGCTGATGCTAACCTCCAGAAAAGTGACTCATTTCACCTTCTCAAGCTGACATTCTTGGTTGACATGAAGTGGAAAGATTATATCTAATCCATTGCTAGGTTAGTTGCTAAGAAAGTTGGTTCACTGTGTTGTGCTAGATAATTATTCACTCCAGAATCTATTTTATATATCTAAATGTCTACCATTCAACAAGGCTTAGAATATTGCTACCACATATGGTCTGGCACTCCTATATGTATAGATATCCTTGATAAAATCCAAAGAAGAATCAGTAATATTATTGGCATCCTGATCTGGCCCCATCTCCAGTGCTTATATATCAGAGATCATGTCCCAACTGCCATATATGGGCATCCAGTGCAGTCATGTCCCCACTGCCATATATATCTAGAGATCCTTGATAAAATCCAAAGAAGAATCAGTAATATTATTGGCCCTGATCTGGCATCTCGGCTTCAGTCATGTCCCCACTGCCATATATGGTCCAGTGCTCCTGCTATATATCTAGAGATCCTTGATAAAATCCAAAGAAGAATCAGTAATATTATTGGCCCTGATCTGGCATCTCGGCTTCAGTCATGTCCCCACTGCCATATATGGTCCAGTGCTCCTGCTATATATCTAGAGATCCTTGATAAAATCCAAAGAAGAATCAGTAATATTATTGGCCCTGATCTGGCATCTCGGCTTCAGTCATGTCTCCACTGCCACTTATGGTCCAGTGCTCCTGCTATATATCTCGAGCTCCTTGATAAAATCTAAAGAAGAATCAGCAATATTACAGGCCTTGATCTAGCATCTCAGTTTCAGTCACTTTCCACCGCTGTAAAGATTCCTCCCTGTGCTTTTCCTGTAAATATTTTCATGGGAATTATTAGGATGAGATCTTCGCTATGGTATCTAGAATTTAAGAGCAGTACTAAACTGGTGACAGGGTCTCATCAATTTACATTTGAATTGACTAGAAAAAATATCAATATTACTTTATGTATGTAATTTAACGTATGTTTATAGTTGGTAATATATTTATCAGGATGCCTTTAAAGCACTTTTGACATGAAGAATTATGTTCTTTTTTAATTAGGATGGCATTTCTCTATACATTATCATCTGAATTCCATATAGACAAACTAGAATTATGATACACTTACATACATGAAGCAATATTTACATTTCTCCTTGAATTCAAACTGGCATAAATTACACTAACATTGCTTAACAAGCCGAATAATAAATAAAAAATAGTACCTTTACAGTTGTTTTAAGGGAACTTGTATAAAAGAGGGATTGTTGCCAAAATACACAATTAAAATGTTTTAATTAAAATGTTTTAATTCATAAAAAATTACAAAATTATAAAAATATGTGAACCAACTCTAATGAAAGCATTATCTACTATTTTATAAAGAACTAGCAGTAGAGCCCGGCATTGCCCAGGAATGTAACAGCAAAAAGAGATAGATCAAGTATTGACCATCATAAAGACTGAAAAATCAAATTGACAAAGATTATTGTTTAAGGTTGACGGACACGCATGTCTTAAACAGTTTTTTTTTTTTTTTTTTACGACTTGGTCAAACCCAAACTCAAACAAAAACATTGTTTTCAATCGTTATGAGTCTACCGATTGAATAGAATTTTATTATTAACAATTGTCTTGTAAATGGAATTTTTAAAGCATTCTAAATGTAAAAATAAAGAAAAAAGTGTGCAAGACAATAAGAAACACTACCTGCCAAAAAAGTTTTGTTGAAATCAGTTGAAAAAAAATTTAAATAAACACATAACTGTCAGGTAACTAGAATTATAAATTCTGAAAAAATTCATTGTCCAGGTATTTTATTATTTTCTCTTGCCAATTTTTATAAATTTTAATAAAAATATTTTGTTTTCATATTGATTTCTTTATAAAATGGTAAATTATAAATCTTTATCAAATGATGAATAATAATAATTTCCTTATAGTCGGTTCATATTTTTATAATCTTGTAAATATAGAATTAATCCTGTAAATAAACAATCTAATAACAGAATAGTGTGTAACATTTTTGTTGTTATCAAAATGCAACAAGTTATGCAGTACTTATTTTGATTAATCATGTTACTTAGAATGATTATTTCATTACTTATTTAAATATAAAAACAGTCTCAGTTGGTAATAAATGACAGATGGCAAAAGGAAGGCACCATTGATTATTTAGAGGTAATTTGTTTAAATAATGCACTGACTATTATTTGCATAATGTAGCAATAATTATAAGTAACATGATGCACTAAAATAAGTAACCAAGTAATCGCTTTAAGTGCACTGAATATCAGTACCTTGTACCAATAATATGGAAAGAAAGAGAAAGGCATTTTTTAATGACTTTTCTGATGACATTCATTTATTAATGTTCAGTTTTTAACTTTCATTATAAAAGGCAGGTCTTTTCAATTTAAAACAAATTAAATTGCATCAGCAAAAATTACTGTCATGAGTTTGATCTTCCCTGGGTACCCAACTGTTGTGATATTTTACCTTTTAACTTCTAAATCACAAAACAGATAAAAATAAAATATTGCAACAAATTATACAGTACTTATTTTGATTAATTGCATTACTTAGAATGATTACTTCGCAACTTATATAAATTTAAAAAACAGTCTTAGTTGATAATAACTTGAGTGACAGATGGTTATAAAAAGACTGTTGATTATTTACAGCTAATTTGTTTAAATAATTCACTGACTATTGTTTGTGTCATGTGGCAATAACTGTAAGTAAAATGATGCACTAAAATTAGTAAGCAAGTAATCATTTTAAGTTCTCTGAATATCAGTGGCTTATTAAAATACAAAACATAGCTTTTTAAAACAACAGATATTGTCAAGAGAACCAAGGAAGTATATAGTAATAGCATTGCCAAAAGAAAAACTGACTTTTTGGCACTTTTTATGAATACATAGATTAAACTTTGATGTAAATTTCTTATAACTGATCTATACATGAAAATATTTGTTTAGAATTTATTAATTCAACATTCAGAATTTTTATAATGGATGCAGGGTAGGGTACCATGCTCAGTTAGTAAATCCATGCTCATTTAAAATGTAAATAAATCATTGTTTTTGAGGTTATATAGTAAATCAGTCATATTTGAAAAGATAGATAGAAGATAGATAAATAGATAAATTTGAGATAGATAGATAGATTGTAGATAGAACAGGCTATAGATAGATAGATAGATTGATAGATAGATAGATAGATAGATAGATAGATAGATAGATATGAACAGACTGAGATAGATATGAACAGGCTGAGATAGATCAAGATTATAGATAGATAGATAGATAGATATGAACAGACTGAGATAGATATGAACAGGATAGAGATAGATAGAGATAGATAGATAGATATAACAGGTTGAGATAGATAGATAGATAGAACAGACTGAGATAAACAGATAGATAGATAGATATAGATAGATAGATAGATAGATATGAAACAGAGATAGATAGATAGATAGATAGATAGATAGATAGATAGATAGATAGATAGATAGATATGAACAGTCTGAGATAGATAGATAGATAGATAGATAGATAGATAGATAGATAGATAGATATGAATATGGTTTTGAATTCAAAGTTTTCCTTCTCCTAGACTGGTTATCAACCATCGCAAGAGAAGCCAGTCTGTTTTTCTATTTTACACTTAGCTAGGTTGAAAAGAGATGGATTCATACCTTTCCCAAGGGTATATGCACAAAATTGAATTTAATGCACTCAGCTGGAATTTGAACTCAGCTTGCCAGTTTCTCATACCAAGCCACTACCATTCCACCATCTGCAGCTTCACCAGACATTTAAAAACTGTAAAAATACGTTTTTTTTCTTTCCTAATAAAAAAAACAAAATTATTCTGCATTTGGTTCATAAACTGCAAAGATGCATTTAGGAATTTATACGTGCTCAACTATAAATTAATTAATTAGATTAATTTACATCATTTCTATCAAATAACGAAGATAAAATTGAATTGCATGCTTGTGAAAAGTTGGCACCAGCATTAGAATTAATGGAAATGTTTGAAAACGTCAAGTTCAATTATAGCAATGGCGAATGTGGAGGTAAAATTAGCAGCATCAAAATATGGATCAGCCATTATTTACAAATGCTGCATCCATCAAGAGATATTTTGAAAATCACTTTTAGTTTCTATTACAAAAAGGAAATAAGTATTTCTCTCTGTCTTGTTATGTTTATTACAAGAAATAGATATCTATTTATCAATCTCAATCTGTTCATATCTATGTCAGTCTGTTCATATCTATCTATCTATCTATCTATCTATCTATCTATCTATCTATCTATCTATCTCAGTCTGTTCATATCTATCTATCTATCTATCTATCTATCTCAGTCTGTTCATATCTATCTATCTATCTATCTATCTATCTATCTATCTATCACAGAAAATAAATAAATATTTCTCTCTGTCTTGTTATGTTTATTACAGGAAATAGATATCTATTTATCAATCTCAGTCTGTTCATATCTATCTATCTATCTATCTATCTATCTATCTATCTAAGCCTGATTATTATCTATCTATTTATCTATCTCAGTCTGTTCATATCTAAGTCTTCTTCATATCTATTTATCAATCTCAGTCCTTTCATATCTATCTATCTATCTATCTATCTATCTATCTATCTATCACAGTTTGTTTATATTTATCTCTTTATCCCATTCTGTTCATATCTATCAGTCTGTTCATATCTATCTCAGATAGATATGAATAGACTAAGCCTGTTCATATCTATTTATCTATCTATAACAGTCTTTTCATATCTATCTATTTCTGTTCATATCTATGTCTTTATCACAGTCTGTTCATATCTGTCTATTTCAATCTGTTCATATCTCTCTATTCCAATACGTTCATATCTCTCTATTCCAATACGTTCATATCTCTCTATTCCAATCTGTTCATATCTATCTATTTATCTGTTATGTCTTCATTCCATTGAATGAAGATAACACAATCATGAAATATAATGTTGCTTGGAGTCGATTATAGCCTTATTGAATTCTGTCGCAAGGATATAAGGCTTGTTCCCAGTTAGCTCTTTTCCCTGACAATTCTCATCATCAGTATATATGCTATTTCAACAAATCCAAGTTATATTCTGGAGAGATGTGTTCATTTCCACAATATTCACCTGTTTCAATCAGATTACATTTTTGCTTACCCAGACGTTGAGTTGTAATTTCAGTTTTAGTAATAGGTACTTCAAAAGTATCCTAAAGTATGTTCATCAGTGAATTAAATTGTGCTGGTTGCTTATTCTGTGCATATCTAGATTTCAATTGATTTATATGTGTCTTATGATGAAATAATCCTCTTTCGACAATGTACATCATACTACCAAGACTTCTAATAATTTTTCCTTCATGCCAATTTTTATTTCTGACCTTAAAGCTTTTAAAGAAGGCTTTATTGCTGTTCATAAATGATCTGGTAGTTTCTAGTTGTCGACATTTCTTTTTATTCTCTGGGAGTTACTTGTCAAAAATGGATCTAACTTTCCTAGCAAACATGAGCTCTGCAGGTGATATTTTTGCAATGAGGTTCACATTTGATGTCATTCGATATACGCTCAAAAAATTCTTGTAGTGCCGTTTCTTCAGCTTCCAAATATTTAGCTTTTCTTAATGCCATTTTGAAGGTGTCAACAAACCACTCAGCTTGACCATTTGACCTTGGATGATAAACCATGTTCACCTGCATAGTTTTTACAGAAATTTTTAAACTCACTAGAAGTAAATTGAGTTCCATTATCGGATACCACACCACTGTCATGTACTCTGAACCTTTCAAAAAGTTTGCATAAGAATTTAATCATTATTGTAGTAATAGGTCATTTATACTTTAATATCTTAGGCCATTCTGTGAAACTGTCGAACACAATTAAATAGCATAAACTGTTTAGTGGTTCAGCAAAGTCTGTATGTAGTCTTGTCGATGGATAATTTATAGGTGATAATTTTGTTGCTGAATACATTTTCTAACTGTATTTTGAATATATTTGTCCAACTTTGGCCAATAAATGTAGCTTTACATCAAGGACATCATTCTTACTATTCTTGGATGTGCTACGTGGATGTGTTTTAAAATCCTTTTTTGTAGTGACAAAGGAATTACAACTCTATCCGTGTACAAAAGTATTCCATCACAAATAGAAAATGCTATATTATTGTTAGCAGGTTTAATTTTAGTTTCACTCAATTTCAACTTTACGTCATTCATAGTTATTTGAATAAACGTATCCTTTTTAGAATAAATTTTGATACCGTCTATCATGACCGGCAATTCTTTTATAGTGTTACACACCAGGTTTTTAATTTCACTTTCAGATTCCTGTGAAGCAATCATAGTATCTTCAAATCTTCCTTAGATTTCAATATCACTCTGTATAAGCCATCTGCATGTCCCAATTTTCTGACAATAGAAATTCCATCTGTTCATATCTATCTCTATATTTTGCAGGTTTCCAATATCAAAGTGAAGCTGTAGAAACCTATTTACTGATATCATATATATATATATATATATATATATATATATATATATATATATATATATATATATATAGAGAGAGAGAGAGAGAGAGAAAGAAAACAATATATATATATATATATATATATATATATATAAAACAAAATATATATATATATATATATATATATATATAGAGAGAGAGAGAGAGAAAGAAAGAGAAAAAAACAATATATATATATATATATATATAAAACAAAATATATATATATATATATATATATATATATATATATATATATATATATATATATATATATATAGATAGATAGATAGATAGATAGATAGATAATATTAGTGGAAAATATACATACATATGCAAAATATATAAATACCCATACATGTATATTTTCAGAAAAAAAATCCAAGAGGAAGAATCCAGGTAGCTTTTTGAATTTGTAGGTCTGATGAATTGGATCGTATTTACGATTCCAATGGAATAAATTATGACCATGGAATATTAGTGTTTAAGCCTTTTTATTATATATATATATATATATATATATATATTATCTGGTTTAATCCACCATATAACAAAACTGTTAAAACGAACATAGGCAAAATATTCCTAAACTTAATAGAAAAACACTTCACTGAAGAAAACAAATTATCAAAAATATTTAACAAAAATAACGTAAAGATCAGTTACAGCTGTACAAAAAACATAACAGAAATAATCAAAAGCCACAACAAAAAAAATGACAACCTACAAAAATGTAACCAAGGATCCAATATGCAACTGCAGAAACAAAACAACATGTCCACTCCAGAGAAATTGCCAACTTACGAACACTGTATACATGGCCAAGGTAAGTACAAACAACAACACTATGCACTACATTGGTGCCACCGAAGGTCCATTCAAAATGAGGAATAACAATCACAACCTTTCATTCAACAACAGGAAATATTCGAACAGCACAACACTTTCTACATACATATGGCAGCAAAAAGACAAAAACATCACACCAACAATAAGTTGGGAAATATTGAAAAAAGCCCCTGCCTACAACAACATTACGAAAAAATGCCTACTTTGCCTACACAAAAAAGTAGCAATAATAATCTCCAAATGTAGGCATGAGAACAAGTACCTATTATCCGAATTCATACCAAACGGATAAAACAGACAAACCACCAACAATCACAATTTAATTTCAAGATACCATCAAAATAATTGCATCTATCATTATTATAATTACACCACCATTAGTAATCACTTTTACTACAATACCTTTTAACTAACAATATTATCATTACCACCAATGCACAGCACTATCACTTACACATCACACCCACTATTAACATATAAATCCACTACAATCTTTATTACTCCCCCAGCATATTTAATACCTTAAAACAATATGATCAGATATAATTTCCATATGTAACCATGAGAATAAACACCTATTACCAGGCAGCTTTAATATAATAACAATAATAATTTTGTAATTAAAATATTAAAAATTATAGCAATCTCCAACTACCATAATTTTACACAGAATACCTATTATCAGGATTTATACCAAAATAAATTAATACATATAACAAAATAAAACAAAAATAAAATAAAATACCAACAACCACTTTTTAGTTCAAGCTACCACCACTATAACTACATTCATGGTTTTATCATTCTCCCACCACCATTACTAATCATTTCTACCAATTTACAATTTCTACCAATTTAGAACAACTATTAGCTAACTATCATTGTCTCCAATCCCTTGAAACACATATCACATCATATCATATAGACCCGTTATTAAATTGAACTACCCTCTCACCCAGCACATTGAATATTAAACTAAACATCACCATATAAATTATCCAATAAGGATTACAAATTTCTACCTGTTACATATACACAGTCACCAAAAACAAACAAATAACCAGCTTTAAATATAACATATAAACCCCCATTTTTTTTCAAAAATTTAAAAATAAATATAAATAATAATAATTTTTACCTATCATAATTTTACACAAACCCCACCACACGCATATACATACATGCGAGGAAATATTTTTCAGCGGGAAAACACTTAATATGACATGTATACAGTAACGAGACATTTCCGCCACACTTCCAATGTTTAAATTTCAACATTTCAACATACAAATGCGTATGTATAGATATAACACCACCCGTATACATACATGTGTCATAGCCGAAACTGCCCACATATGTTTATATATGTATGAGTCCCGACGGACGACCAAGTATGTATATGTGTATGCATACATCGATGTTTGCGTTAGTGCGATGAATGACAAAACGACGAAATTTCCCCCACCACTTCCACAATAATGTCTGATAAGCTTAATAACATTATCATTAAATGAATTAAATAATATCTATGTTGGTCACACCACAAACTCGCTTTCATGACACTTGACACTACATTTGAATGATAACTCTAATATTTTTAGGCATTTAAAACAATATGCTTGGCCACACACACAATTCTGTAAAATCCTTGTCGAAAACACAATTATACTTCAACATGAAAACAATAAACAAAAACTAAAAATCCTTGAAGCAATATACATCAAACAGTTGAAACCCAACCTAAACAAAATCAACTATGGAATCTCTACAAATATCCTTAAATGTATATAATTGGTAACAGAAGCCATTGGTTTATACCAACGACTTCCCATACTTAATATTTCTCGAATTCACTCTCGCGTGGTCATGTCTGACGTCATGAGCTGCGGTGCGATTTTCACTTCTAGCGTCTTATATGAACATGTTTATCATTGCTAGGAAATCATCCATGTAAACAATCACAGACTATCATCACTGTCTTGTCCATATATTGCTTAATATGTTGTACAGTAATTGACATCTTTGATAATGGCTTATATAAGCTGAAAGCTTAGATTGGATTAAAAAATATGGATCAATATTGTGATTTTCTTTCTTCGTTTAATGATGATGTTATTAAGATTATCAGACGTTATGAAAAGAATTTACATAAAATAAATAGACAACACTTGTCTATATTATTTAATGAAACATGCATCAATATATATATATATTTATTAGTTTCCACAACTGCATCATCACTGATGATGAGATGTAATGACACAATAAGGATGTTGAATGAAAGTGACAAACTATGGCAGTATTTCTCAACTGGTATTCCTCAGGACCCTAGTTTTTAGGAAGAGGTCGCTAGGGGTTCTGTGAGAAACCACGATAAATTGGGTAAGGAATTTTGTGTAATTTTTGTTTGTAAATTTTTGTTTGTAATTTTTATTTGTAAATTTACTATACATGCTGTTATACCATAATACCTATTCTATTGTAATAGACTCTCCCACAGATAATAAGTAGTAGTAGCAGTGGCCAGTTGGGCTCAGTGGTGCTGAGCGAGTCAGTCGATGTTGGACATTGAAGTATCAACCA